GTTTTGCTTGCTATTATCTCTTCTCCCTTTGCTAAGTTTTGCCCTACAACGGCAGAGGACTGTGCTCGTAGAGCCCCAGACCCTAAATAACCTGACTGCCCTGGTAGTGTGCACGTTGCCAGCCTGGAGGCAGGCTGGGCACCGTCTCATTGGACCAGGACAGTGCCATGGGCTCTGCTTTCCAAATCCCATGCTGCCAAGGTGGACCCCAGGATGAGCTTTAGCCCAGTGGGGTTTTTCCTTCCAATTGCCATAAGCTCTTCCATGTGGCTCTTCCAATTGCAGTAAGCCCTAGAGCTGCCATTCAGCCGTATGAGCTCCATCTGATGTGGCTCCTGCTGTAGAAAGACTGCTTTGGCGGTCCTCCGTGGAGCCCACAGGCATGTTTAACTGCTAGGAAAGGCTCACAGTCCTAACAAGAAGCCCAAAATAGGTGGGAGCGGAAGCTGTTTTGTTGCCCTCCAGCATTTGCTGGCATCTCTGCAAGACATCCTGCTCCTCTACATCACCATTACTTCCTTCACTGGCTGCAGAGTCACCATTTGCCATTGTCTTTGGGCACATAGACTCCAAATATATACGTGCCCTTGTTCATTATTTGCTTGATATCTTTTCACTCACTGAAGTCATCTTGCAACTCAAAAAGAAGAGTATGTGTGTGGCTTTCCTCTGTCAGATATGCTGTTGTCTACTGAAGTCATAAGCTATCCAGAATGTGTCCTGGAGATTACTAGTGTTTCTGGGATGGACTGGCTGGGGGATATCACTTGGGCCTATTTTCACGTTAAAACATCTATTCAATAGAGAGGTGAACTTTACTGAAATAAATGTAAGAATGCAGTTGTAACCTGAAGGAAGGCTCCCCTAAAACACCGTGTAAATATATTTCTAAACTTGCAAGTGCTACATGGGGAGAATCATTTTATTGTTTATATTTTTGTCTGCCAGTCAGGAGTGGTTTGGCTCCAAGGACAGGCAACTGTGCCTGTTTTTGAAGAAACCCCGCTTTTGAATGACGTCAGAGAAGATGATACACAAAAGCAAGCAAGGCTTGCAAAACAGCTTCTTTGAGATAACTTGCCAAGGCAAACGCTGCTGAAGGTTGATTCGTCTGAGGGATGCATGGCTTCAGAGAAGTTTGTCTTTCATGAATCATCCATCCCCTGTCGCTTTGACAGTGGCAAGGATTGAAGCATCTATAATAGAGGTTTCTGCTCAGCTGCTCTGAAGCACTTAAACCAGACAGTATTTATCTGGGAGCTCCACGGGCAGTGAGGTGTGCCCCAGGGAGGCAGTGCTGTGGATACATAATGCAGCCTTTAAAATAAAAGCCATTCTTGACACTTGAAAAAAACCCTGGCTAGGGAAACGTGTCTTCAATTAAACGGCACAAGGAGCACTTGTTAGGGGTTGGGTCTGAGCTTCATCTGAGCACTGAGGAAGTGCAGAGGTGGCCTGGGCCACCGGCAGCTGAGTCCCCAGCAGCACTAGCAAAACAGTTACACTCATACAAAGTCAGAGAAATGCCCTGGAGAATCAGAGCTTTTTTCAGTAAACGTAACTGTATGAAGTCTGTAAGTAACCGAATAGGTTCAAACCTCCTTGGGTTTTGCCAGCAACAAGCTCAGTGATGTTTTAGTCAATGTCAATAACATTCAAAATGTTATTGAGACTAAATAGCAATGAAGCAAAAGGCAATGTCTGCTCTTGGATGATAAAATTTAAAGAAAAGAGCTAAAGTGCCCAATCTGGCTGTTGGCAGATCATTGATTATCTGGATTGATGTAAAGCCAATGATCCTGAAGAACAGAGATAAACAGACAGATGTTTCAGGTTTTGTGTCATAACCGGACTGCTCTATGAGTAAACTCATAATACGTTTATCTCAGGAAAGTTGCCAAAAATCACTAGTTTCTTGAGTATGTGTATAACTTGCATGCAAATCACCCTTCCCAGCAAAGGCTGAAGCTGCAGAGGCAGTTTGATTAACCAATCGATTGTATCTGTATGAGCCAAAGGAAGGATAGCTGTGAAAAGAAGCTCATTTCAACACGCTCAATATTTGATATTTCTTCTCTGTAACCAGTGCCAAATGGCAGATGTATTTAGATTCTCAATTAGGTAATCATGGCAGCTCTGTCAAGGAAAATTGCCTACCTTCAACACAGTATTGTGCCATCTTGGTTTTTAGCTCTTGTAGATCTTGACATTTTATTTTGATCGTAATGATGATTATCTCCAGCTACAATCTGTCTTTTCATATTAAACATTTCAAAATGTTTTTGTTCAAGCAGACATTTAATTTGTACAATTTTGAAACCTCTTGAAGGTTACATATTTGAAGCCATATATTCAAGTCAAAGAAATTATGAAATAATAACAAGTAGAAGAGTGAGGAAACTCCTCAGCTCTACTCTTCAAATCTGCATGCTGTAGTACAGCATGTAGTTACAGGATTCAGGTGCTGCCTTTATAATAGATTCTTCACCACTATAAAATTAGGCCACAGAATGTTGTGGATTAGTCTGGTGCTTAGGACATCTTAGTCTTACCCTCTACAGTTGTTTAGTGCCCTATGAGTGACTCAGTATGTTACTGAAAGAAGAGAAGGAGACGTGAACTTAAATTTAGTGCTACCCAAAACAGAATTATGAAGTGTTAGGCTTTGAAAATATTCTTTATGCTTCATGCAAAAGCTCAATCAGTTTAGATAAATTATTACCTAACTACCACTTAACCATTCAAACTTCTTCCAAATAAAAGCAAAAGGTGGATCTTCTTTCTTTGGCTTTTGTTTGCTGATTATCAGTCTTGCATTTAAAACTCACTACACTAGTCCATGAGGAACAAATTGCCCTAATTGTTTTAATGAAGTTACGGATTTGCCTCATCCTGACCCATGCACTTCTTCTGAAGTCATGCCTGTACAGCAAAGAAAAGAGGACAGTTGTTCTTCAGGACAGAAGCCAATGATGTCAGCTGTTACTGAGGGATCCCTGATGAAATCTCGTGGACTTCTGTGGGGTCAGCTTTCCATTTACAAACTCCTGTCTTTCATTTTTTTAACATCCTGCTGACAAGCATTAGTTGGTTTCTCACATCACTTTCTAGACAATATGTCATTCAAAGCCCCATCCAGGCTCTAGGTCATTTCAGCATGCAGAATTATATATCTTCCTTTAATTGATTCCTTCTCCTCAGCCTTGAATCATATACTTAGGAAAAAATTAGTTGTGCTGACTGTCATATGTTGTTTAAATAGTCATTGTGATATGATTAGAGGCCAGAGTTAACAAAGTCTAATGCTCCTTGCACCCCAGAGTCCTACTTTCCAAAACAGACAATAGCCTAAGTCTGCCACTTCTGTCACTACAGCCACAGCCACGCTGTGGGTGGGACAGGCTGTCCAAATTGCGGCACATTTTATCCACTTCTGACATCACTAATCAAAAAAAAAAAAAAAAAGCATGGAAAATCTGCAGTATAGCAACTTCTCTGGGATTATCAGACATGCGTAAGTGAGGTGAGATACAAATACGATCCCTTCTTCAATGAAATGCTGTAGTAGTTATTGGAATACCCTTTAGAAAGCATTGATGGTTGTGCAGAGTTTGATCTGACAAAAGGAGGGTAGAGCCTCAATCTGAAGTGGTAACATCCTGAAAATACCAGATGAATTAATCTGCTTAACACATCTCATCTCAAGGATTTTGCCTCATGTAGTCAAGGGCTTGCTATAATTAAAGCTAACTTCAGAAACAGATGAAACGGATTCCACTAAATAATGTAGTAGAGAATGTAATAAGAACTTTATCCTCTTGAATTAATGTACATCCCATTACTGTTCTTCTAAATGTTATCATATGGTACTTCCCCTCCCTCTGAGTCCCATTAGTCCTGCAGACACTTCCTAACTGCATGAATATGTTATTGATGATGATCAGGACCCATGTGGTGACGACAGTTTTTGTCCCAAACAAATGAGAACAGCAGATATTTAGAAAATAAAGTCAACTTCATAGTTGGGCTTCACTGTATATTAAATGGCCAATTCAAACTCCATCTGAAAATCCATCTGAGGATTTTGACTGACCTCTGATACATGTCCAAACCAGTTTTCTCATTCCTATATTTTGGGGTAATCTCCAGATGAATTACATGCTGGCAAATTTCTATAGAAATTTATTATTTTCTATGCTGACCAAGAAAATGAGCTGAAATTCTTTCCAGTGGAAGACGACACAAAGCTGGCTTCCTATTCCATCAAACTTCTTTTTAATTTATTTTGTTAATTACACACCAAGCATAGAACTTTTTGGGAAAGATGTATTTTATGAAGAAAGAATCAAAATGCTGCAAACCAGTGCAGTGTACTGATTAGTGTCCTTAGCTAGAGAGGAGAGCCAACGTCAGATCCCTGCTGCTATTGAATTGTGCACTTGAGTCTCAGTCTCCCATGTGGGAGGCAGGGAGCAGAGGAAAGAAAGAGGGGGGAAAGGAAAGGGAAATAGATAGCTGAAGAAACTTTAATTGAACTAACATGTTCCTTCAACAAATGTTTGCTTTTGCATTTCCCTGGATTTTCCCTGTCCCACTCCATCTCAGGAGGTCACTGATCTTCCATGCAGAGGTGAGGACACAGGCAGGGAGCAAGTAGGGGAAATGTGGGGCAGGATGGGGACAAGCCAGAGTGAATGGGGTCAGGGCAAAGACAGGACTGTATTGATGTGTTTGTCAGTAGAGACTTACCAAAACCAAAATATCTTTGCTTGAAAGATAAGAAGGAGGAAGATTGACAGAGTTACCAGCAAACTGGGAACTCTGATACAACATACATGATGCATTTAGCATCAAGTTCTTTATGTGTCTTGATCAAATATGTAAAGTTTCTACATTTAATCTGAAGAGCTAGAGATTTTTAATAGTTTCCTCTTCAACTGCATGAAGTAAACAAGCAAAACCATAAATGAAACTAACTTTCCATTTCTTCATTGTTTCAGATGATGGAAAACTGTCCTTTGATGAATTCAAAGCTTACTTTGCTGACGGAGTTCTGAGTGGAGAGGAACTGCATGAACTTTTTCACACCATTGATACACACAATACTGAGTAAGCACCCCCTTCTTACAATTACAGTGCTGCTCTCTGTACCTGAGAACGGAAAAAAGACATCAGGCTGATTTTAGAAAACAAGAAAACAAGTCTAAGAAGGCGGCTGCTTCAGGGAAGCTAGGCTGTGTCATATGGCTCTAAACTGTACAAGTGAAGTATTTCTAAACCTTGTAGAAATACCTGCATGTTCCAATAAATTGGGTACTGAGAACACAGGGTGGAAACTGGATGCCTTCTGTGTTCCCCACCCATGATAGTAAGGAAAAGGGGCTGTGGCCTCCTTCAGGCTTAAATATGAGTTCCTCAATTCTCGATCCCACTTTGCTAATTCATTACATGAGATGAACACTTGGACCAGATGTTAAGCAGGGAAAAAAATAAATGAAGCGATCATATATAGTAAAGAGCAGAAAAAGTCATCCTGTCTGGTGCTGGCGTGGTAATTGCGTTGGTGCTGTCACTTAGGCTGTTTGGATATCCCCATTACGGTTGGGCTTAACAAGGCTACAGGGAAATGAGCTGACAGGAACTTCATGAAGTTAAACAAGGAGAAGTGCAAAGTCCTGCACTTGGGGAAGAACAACCCCATGCACCAATATATGCTGGGGGCCACTCAGCTGGAAAGCAGCTTGACAGAAAAGGACACGGGATGGACACCAAGTTGAACGTGAGCTAACAATGTGCCCCTGTGGCAAAGGCGGCTAATGGTATTCTGGGCTGCATTAGACAAAGTATTGCCAGCAGGTCAAGGGAGGTGATCCTTCCCCTCTACTCAGCACTGGTGAGACCACACGTGCAGTGCTGGGTCCAGTTCTGGGCTCCTCAGTACAAGAGAGGCTTGACATACTGGAGAGAGTCCAATGAAGGGCCACAAAGATGATTAAGGGACTGGTGCACCTCACATATGAGGAAGGGCTGAGAGAGCTGGGACTTTCTAGCCTGGAGAAGAGAAGGCTCAGGGAAACCTCATCAATGTATATAAATACCTCAAGGCAGGGTGCAAAGAGGAAGGAGCCACTCTTTTCAGTAGTGCCCAGTGACAGGACCAGAGGCAATGGGCACAAACCCAAACACAGGTGGTTCCCTCTGAACATCAGGAAACACTTTTTTACTCTGAGGGTGACCAAGCTCTGGCACAGGCTGCCCAGAGAGATTGTGGAGTCTCCGCCTTGGAGATATTCAAAAACCATCTGGACACAGTCCTGGGCAACTGGTTCTAGTGGCCCTGCTTGAGCAGGGGGGGGTTGGACCAGATGACCTCTAGAGGGCCCTTCCAACCTCATCCATCCTATGGTTTTATGACTGAAGAAGAGAATGAATTTCCTTTTTATTTGCTTTCTGGCCATCAGCAGTTATTCACAGCAGGTCTCCCATTTACTGTTAATTAACCACTAAAGCTAGTGGTTTTTAAATTGGACTATTCGTGTGGTAGAGAAGGTCCTGAGGAGAGGCCGTTTATTGCTTTTGCTAAGAGGTTATGAAGACATCATGTAGAAATTGTGGTGTGGGTTGTGGTTCTGGTTACAAGGAGCAAGTACACAGTAAGTCAGTATTGCTTTTCTCAGCTGCATACAGGGGAGCAACAAGTATTAAGATGCTATCACAGCCCTGCTTCCTATGTTTACTGTAAGAAAAGGTAGGAGCAGTGTAACAGGACCTTATCTCATCCAATGCCAAACTCCATTGTGTCTCTGGGTTTTTTACCTTCCACAGGGAAACAAAACCCTGTGGCTGTGTTTTTGTAATTCATCTACTTCGTAAACATCCAGACGCTAACTCACAGTGAAATATTAGTAGCCTTGTGCCTCAGACACATGATTTTGGCAATCACCTTAATACTTTAGGACTTGCACATTGCCTCAGGTAGCTCCAGACAGGCCTTTTCCCTTGGCCAGTTCTTCCTGATGGTGACTCTCGTATGGCTTTTTCTCCTTTGGATGTCTGTGTCACAGCATCGCGTCCCTCCTTGTTCCCCTCTTTCTCAGCTTCTGCCAGTCCTCCTCTGCAAACACCAAATTGCCATGACAGTTGTGTATCACTAGCCCCAAATGCTGACCCGAGCCCAGGCCCATCACTCTGGTGGCCTGTCAATGACCAGACGTGATGCTGACCATTGACATGACAACTACCCTTGCAGCAGAAGGCCTGGAAGTCAAGCCGAGGGCTTTTTCAGGAACCATCTCAAAGCTCATTCTTCTCAAGAAGCCTCACTGAAGGTCTTGTGTACTTGGAAGCTTGTCCATTTTTTCCACCATTATGAGCTAGTCTAATGAATATATTCTCTCTCCTTACAAATTTTTCCTCCCTCCAGTCTAGATGGAATTATTAAACCACTTCACCTTTTCCAGAAAGTATGAAGAAAGAAATCAATTGAAGTCTGAAACCTGATCAATATTGTACAAGTGTATGCTAGGGAACATGAATCTCAATTCATGATCTTTTATGAACAACTTCAAGGAAGATAAACATCAAAATTTTAAAAAAGATTCTAGGTTTTCATTAGCCAATATACAAATCTTTTTTGTAAAAAATCAATAGTTAAATGAATTCAGATATTAAGTATTCAAAGTGTTGTTTATTTCAAGACATTTAAATATACAGTCAATATGTCAATATGCAGAACCACATTTTTTTGCTGTCTTAAGAGCTTGGTTGCTTTTTTATAAACGTGTATGAGGTACTGTTCATGTCTGTGTGATCATATGGAGCCATGAAATGCCTACAGTTAGGAATCCTGTTTTAGATCTGTTCTCTGCAGTCCTAAAAGCATTCACATAGGCACCTAATTCATATAAACAGAGGAATATATCCCCTAGGAGTAAATGCCTAAATAACTCTGTGAATTTGTTTTTTAGCTCTGATCTCTCTTATGTTTCTGTAAATCAGGCGTAACCTCCCCAGAATCATTATATTTAAGCCAGCACAAAATGGCAGTATGGAATTGGACTCCTAATCCCAAGGCCATCCTAAAGCATCCGGTAAACCATCCTGTGTTGAAGACTCTTGGTACTAGGATGCAACAAACAGGTTTCCCAGATGTATCATTCTCCTTAACAGACAACAAAGGAGAAGAAGCAATACAAGCAGGTTATCTCTTATCATAAAAGAAGAGAAGGGTGTCATTATTTCCCTAATTTCCCATATTTCCCTAATTTGTCAAAAGTACTCACGTGCTATAAATTCAAAGCAGAAGGTTGCAGAAATACTGCTAAATAAATAGGTACTGTGTACAGAAGAAATAAGTGTAACATTTAAATTTCCTCAGGTTTCTTAAAATCAGTGGCAAAGACTGAGAAACAAATACGATCTTCAACAAACACAATGCATGCAGTCTACCTAATTCTAGCAAAATGAATCACATGCTTCTTAGAACACCATGGGAATTTGCTTAGCGGATTAAGGGCCTTCACGCAAATTTTTAACCCAGAGTCAAAGACTCATTTCAGAGCCAAAGACTCATTCATAACAGCTTTGGATTTCCTCATGTGTACCACATATCTGCATGAGAGTGGTTTTATTTTACCATGATTCTGTTTGTCTGCATTTGTCAGGGAGCATCCTGATAAGAGCAAATATCCTTGATGACTATGTAAGATTTCTAAGAAAAAAGACAGATGTTCTACATCCGTTTTTCCTTTCTTTTTATTTGTAAAGCTTTTTTTAATTTGTAAAATATTTTTATTTGTAAATTTTTTATTATTTGTAAACCTTTTTCTCTTTAGCAGAGAATATCTGGACCTGAAAAATATGTAGAAAAGTGAGAATGACACTACATTTTTCCTCCTGGGAGATAGGCATACCTGAAAAATAGGTGCGATTTTGTCAAATGCTACAGTTACTAGCTGAGAACAGGTAATGAAACTGGCACGGCAGCCATCTGAGAGAGAGATCATTCTCACTGTCCAGGAAGAGCCTGGCAAAAAGCAGGACACAAAAGTCACAGAGAATACATACTGTGAAGGATCATATTTTCATATGTTTCAGGGAATTGAACAGGTGGAAGACTAAGAAAACCTACTAAATTACCTTTTCCAACCAGAAGAAAGGGTGCTTTCTTTTGACCGGTTAACATTTGTTACAGAGTAGAACCTAGATATAGATAATAAGAAAACAAGCTTAAAGCTTAGATTTAAAACAGCAACAAGAAGCTTTTTGGATATGTTTTTCCATGACGTCCTTAACTGATAAAAGGCTTAGTGCCTGACTTTGCAGCTGAAAAGTATTCTACACTGCTTGATCTTTCTTTTTAACAGAGGCAAATACGTTTTAAAGGCTTTTCCTTAGGACCTTTGAAAGCTTTTGAGAACCCTGTCACCAGGCAGGCAGCAAGATGGAGCATGCCAAGTATCAGATGGATATAGCAAAGAGAGACAGCTTGGACAGTATAATTTAAATTCCTTGTTAGTATAGCTTTCCAGCAAAAATCACATGAAGCAGATATAATAAGGAGGCAAAAACTTTACTCACTGGCATTTGCTGAAAAGGGCAGATTATGTAAAATGTCTCAAATTAACCAGCTGGCTAAGAAAAGTAGCAAAATGTTCATTGAACCTTGGGAAGTTTTGTAATGTAAGCATTAGGAGAATCACGCACATATCAAACAATGCCCAAACCACCTATTCTGTGATGTTTTCACTTGCAAATTACCCAAGGGAATGAAATTAAAATCATGGTTTGTGCCTGTAATTCCCAAGTAGTTTATGGCTGGTTTTTAGTAGGGGAGGGTGAGAAATTCTACTCAGTTGTGTACCTAGTAGGAGAAGATTTGCACAGATTATTTTGTCTCTCTTATCCAGTTAAAATACAGACTCTGTCAAACTCTGGGCAAATCATTTATCTTCTCTCTGCTTCACTTTGCTATTTACAAAATGCATACTGTAGTTCCCTATCCCAGAAATATTTTGTAAGCATTGAGATTATGCAGTGATTTACACTACACGTAAATGCCTAGGACAGATGGCTAGGGAAGCATGTCATGATCCGCTAGATCATTTCTT